ACATCTCGTTCTCCAGCTCAGTGTTAGCCATGGAGATGGTGGCCTGAGTTCCAGCTGGTGTCTTGCTGATGCCAGGAAGTGCAATAGTCACTGTGTTCTCAAAACACTGTAACTCTGCATTTTGACCTGTCCGGAGGCTCCCTTTAGATGGGAGAAGCTCTTCAGGCTGGTGTCAGTCCAAAGTATTAAAGACACAGACGACCTGTAGCCACCTGTGACAAGGAACAGCACGTAGGGCAAACAGCAGACTGACCAAAAATCTGAGGACGATGAGGCAAAGGAGGAAGTTACCTCAAGGAATAAGGGCTTTGAAGCGCCGCCACATACACCAAGGAATCTGCAGTGCGTTGTGTCTGACCGGAGCCAGACGCTCAGGAAAGACTTAGAAGAACCCTAAGCTATCATCTCTTGTTGATCTTTGATTGCTTCACAAAAAGGTTGGGAAGTCTAAGGCAGAGCCGCTGGTAGCCTGGCTTAATGTTGAAGGAGTTCCCAAGCTCAGAGCTAATCTGCTAAGAAAAGGGGAATCTGTTTTTTGATGGTTTCGGTTCCTAGTATTAAAGTAAATCTCTGTCAGGATTAGGACTGGAGACAAGTCTCTAATAGGCTTATTACTGTAGAGATAACACAAAAAAAGTCTTCAGTGACCACACAGAACAAAGAGTACAATTTAGTTTTTGAGAAAATATTTTGGGAAATTCAATAAACAAATGGACAACTGCAGCCCACAACAAATCAACAATCAAGAACAGCAAACCCTGGGGATGGGATTTCCAGAGTTACCACATTATAATATTCAAATTGTCCAATTTCCAAAGATAAATTCAAAGCATATAAAGAAACAGAAAATTACGGGCCATTCACAGGGAAATAACTGGCAGAAACCATTCCTAAGGGAGCCCAGACACTGGACTTACCAGTCAAAGACTTTACATCTTGAAAATACTCTTAAAGAGCTAAAGGAAACCATGGACAGAGAACTTAAGAAAACAGACATGTTAGTAAAGAGATAAAAATTGCTGTAAAAGGAACTATGTTCTTTATTTAGAAAGGAATTGTGGAGCTAAAAATTGAAATAGCTGAAATAAAAATTGTACTGGTGAGGTTACACAGGACACTTCACCAAGCAGAAGACAGAATTAGCAAACTTGAATATAGGACAACTGAAATTACCCAGTTTGAGAAATAGAAAGAAAAAGGAATTAAAGGAAGTGAAAAGAGCATAAGGGACATATAGGACACTCTCAGTCAGACTAACATAAGCATTTATAGGAGTCACAGAAGGAGCATAGAGGAGGGCAGAAAGAATATTTGAAAAAAATAATTACCAAACTCTTCCCAACTTTGAGGAAAGAATCAATCAACATATCGAAAAAGCTGAATGAATTCCAAGAAGGATAAACTCAAAGAGATTCATTCCAAGATGCATTATAACTAGTAGTTGAAAGAAAAGACAAGCAGAGAATTTTGAAAGTAACAAGAGAGAAGCAATTCTTCAAGAACCGGGAAGCTCAGTAAGGGTAACAGATGATGTCTTACTTAAGCATGCAGGCATATAAGCAAAAGGCAACGGGATGACATATTTAAGGTTCTGAATGAGGAATTACGTCAGCAAGATAGTAGTGTAGGAAGCCTTATTTCTCACCCCCTTGCAGAAATGATGATTTAACAATAATATTGCTACCAAAATACCTTGAAGAGGCAGTCAGGATCCAGGTAAGAAGTAGAAGCACCTTAGAGGAGCACAAACTGAGAAACAGTCAGAGTTATATAAGTAAAAACAGAAATTTCAATTTACTCACATCAGTTCCTCCTCCAAACAGGCTTAGCTCAGCCCCAAGAAGACTGCTTCAGCCCCTGATTCTCCCATGGAGTGATGGCGAGATTGGAGTGTGCACCTGGCCTCGTGGCCTCCCACAAGGAACTTCTGTGGAACTGGTTTCTAGCTTGCTTCCTACTGAGCACTGAACAACCAAAAGAGCTTGGTTCCCTGAGATAGAAACAGAAAAGGGGGAGGGGATCCCCTTATAGCCAGTATTTTTTTTTTTCATGATTGGGGAAAAGCAGAGAATTGATGCTTTTCCTCAGGAGGGAAGGAAGAAAGTAAAAGGGCTTTACTCCTAGCCTTAGAGGAACTACTACTGAGCGCTGCTGACCAGTGAAAGTGCATCCCAGTCAAAATCAGTCCATGAATACAGACAGTAGCTGCTTCTTCAAATGCACAGACAGCAAAGTAAATTGACAAGAAACATGAGGAGTCACTAAGGAAGAAAACAGATCTCCGATAACAATCTGAAAGAAATGGCTACAATGAGTTGCAAATCACTTTCAATTCTAGTGTAAAAGTTAAAAGACAGAAGTACTAAAAAGAACTGTAACTACAATAATTTGTTGATAGATACACAATATAAACAGAAGTAAATTGTCACATTAATAAGAAAAAGTGTGGGGGAGGGAGAAGTT